AGAAGGGGCTGGATTACTCCTTCCTTCCAGACCACCGCTTTCCAGCTTCCTCACCTCTCCACTGGCATTTTTGAGCTACAGATGTGATTGACTCCTGCAGGCTCTCAATAAAACGTCTGGCTGCCAGAGCACAGGCGTTTGCTACGCAGCAGCGGTGCCCTGCCTGGCTTTGGGATCTAAGCAGCGTCCTGAAAACCCGTCGTCAAGAACTCAAGTGCAGAAAAAGCTGAGGAAAAAAAAGAAGTGTTGGATTCTAAAGTGTTGGGAAAGGTGAAGAACACAAAGCAATACTTCCCCAAAACCACCTACAGCGTTCGTTAATACTTCCACCGCTTCTGTTCTGGTCTGCAGTTACTGAAGCCAAGAATGGCACGTGCTGTCACCGTTTCCTTACTGCTTCCAGCCAGGACACCTACCCGTGTCAACGCTCTCCACGCTCTTCACAACGTATCTGCCCGCATCAGCCGGTTTGCGTTTCCTGGCCCGGATCCACCCTTGCTGCCGGAGCTGGCGCTCTCTCACACGGGCGTAAATAGGCTTCTGCTGCCGCCAGAATTCGCTGCGTGTGTCCAGGTAGGAAATGCCGCCCAGCACCAGGTCCGCTACTTTGATCCCCTGCTTTGTGCTGCTCTCCATCAGATCTGGGAAGGAGACGGTAGAACCCAGGAGAGTGTTAACGGAGGTGACGGGCGAGGCTGCAGTTCAGCGGGGGCTGCTGGCGAACGCTGGCCTGCGCCGAGAGAGAGGCCTGGGCCACGCAGCCCTCAGCGCTCCGCAGAGCTGGGGCGGTTGAGGGGGAGGTTACGGCAAACTCCCGTCCCGCGCGGTTTTGCGGTCGGAGCCGCCGTCCCCAGCCCCGCGGCCGCTGCCCGCTCCGCCCAGGGCCGAGCCGCTCCGCGGGGCGGCGCCTCGGCGGGGGCTGGGGGTCAGCGCGGGACACACACACACCCCGAGAGGGCTTGTACACACCTGGAAGCCAGAGAGCCCACAGGTTTACTCGGGCTGGTAATGCCGCGAAACCTGCGAGCAGGCCGAGTTCTCAGTTACTGCTGTCACCGAGTAAAGCCTTTGCTGGAAAAGGGACTAAAGGGGCTTCACCTTCCTGCCTCGTCCTGAAACAAGGCATTTCTCCAAATCCTGCACCTTGATCTTAACAACGTTTGTAACGAAACCACGAGTGAGTTCCTGTCGCTTGAGCAGCGCTTTGCACTTCCTGCAGGCGTTAGTGGAACTCACCATGGTGACATGAGCGAAGCAGTTTGTCACGATACTGCTTCTGCTTTTGATTTCATGAGCACAGGTTGCTTTGAGCTGATTCACCGCTCGTTACAAAAGCCTGACATTTAGCAGGGAAGGAAATGTGCTCAGACATCGTTATGAATATGGGACCTGTCTCCAAAAGCACCTGTACTCCCCAGACACCCGCCTCTCGTGACCACCGCAAGCACCACGTGCTGTGCAAGCTCCGATACAAACAAGGGCGGGCAGTCGCAGGTACATGAAAGAAGAAACAAAAAAACCCGCTTAGAAGGAACCCGTAGCTAAGCACAACGGAGAAAGACCTTCATCCTTGAGCAGCTTTTCCAGGTAGGCCTTGTCGGCATAAAGCTCTCCAAGAAGCTGCCGCTCTGTTTTGGGATTCCTCACAGGCTCCTGTTTCCTTGTCCCTTTTTGGTCCTTAGTCAGTTTGATTTGGCGTTTCTGATCCGCTTTTTTGCTCTACGGCAAGAAAAAACAAAGGAAGTTGGGGGAGATCAGTGGGGAATGAGCAGAGTCCCGCTTATACTCCATCTAGACCAAGTTATGGTTTAAACAAAACCAGAAAGTCGGTGTCTCACCAATTGCTTTGGTCATGAGCAACGGCAGTTTTGCACCCAGTTGTGCACCCTCACGTCTGAGAGCAGCAGGGGGCGTGACAGCAGGAGCAAGAATTCGTCCTGCCCCGGTGCCTTGGGCTGCCCTGGGGGGCTGCCAGGTCGGTGCCGCGGGAGGACGCGAAGGCCGTGGAAAGGCAGGGTCGGAGTCCCCAGCCAAGGAGAGGCTGCCACAGCCGGGGCTTCCGAAACGCCAGGAGGGTATTGCTGAAGTCTGGCGTCCAAAATGCCCACGAGGACAGGGCGACTCTTTAGGCCCCTCTGTACAAACCACTTTTACCACCGAGGGCCCGTCATTCTGGCTGGAAGAAGCCAAGAGCGGCCGCGGCACCGGCCTCAGAGGGAAGGTGGCTTGGGCGCGGGGGAACAAGGCCCTGCTTCAGTGGACCCCCCAAAATTAAGCAATCAAGAAAATGTCCATTATCAAACATGTGAGCCTCAAACACCAGGTAAAACCAAAGCAAATACTGTGGATCCAGGTACCCTGGCTCGGCCCCGGTGCTGTTACTCGTTACGCTCTGAGGGGCAACCAGCACCACCCAACAGGAACAGGCTGGCAGCAAAATTTCAAACTGGGCTTTGTTTCTCCGTGCTCGCTCTTCCCTGCCCTTCTGCCATCTCCTACATTTTCTGTAGCTTGAGCCCCATCTACACTGAAAGCAGGAGCACCAACGCTCCCACCAGGGACCGGGGCGCTTCCTGCTCGGGAGGCCCTTCGCTAGACCAGCCGTGTCCTCGCTGCTGCGGGAACTGTGGATCCTCTAATGCCTCCTTCAGAAAGTGTCGGCATTACAGGAACCCTGGTGAGCTTCTAAAGCAAGAGCTCTTCAGACTGTACCTCTGCCTGCCTGCTTACGAAGCACAGATCCTCCTTGTTCTCCAGCTTCACCAAGGATGGGCCTGCAAAACACAGAGAAAATACTCGTTAGTGTTCAAGAACAGCAGTGCAGAGGCTTTGGGAATGGAAATGGCCCTAAACGTGCCAAGCCTGTAACGCCCTGTTTGAAAAGCAGCTTTCTACGAATTCTTTCACGCGACACACGTGGCTGTCGGTGCGTTCTGCCAGCGGGGATGCGGCTCCTCTCGGGACTTTCGCCGCTATTTTCACAGGGCACCAGGGGGCTCCCGTCACCGCGTCCTACCCAGGCTGCTGCATCCTGGAAACGGAGGAAGAAGAGGGAGGGCAGGTTCTTCTCAGGGATCACAGCTGAACCGTAAGATGGAAGGAAAGCCCCAAGCAGAGGGGTCTCCAGCAATCCAGAGAACTGTCCCACAGGTTTTGTGCTCTGGCCTCAGGGCAACCCCCCCATTTCGTTTTCACCCTGCTGCTCAGCTCGCGCTCGAGCGGGGGCAAGCACGGCGAGCACCTCGGCTGAGAGCTGCGAAGATGCCCAGGCCTTTGGGTGAAGCCAAGAAAGCAGCAGCCACGGAGGGAAGCAGGCTGGGCCTGGGAACGTGCCCTGGCGGTTCAAACAAACACCGCCCAGGAAAGAGCGCCGGGCCTTTACGCATCTGGGCGATGAAGTTACCCGCTGGCCCTGGAGGTGGGCTGGAGTTTTGCAACCGGTTTCAGCGGGAGTGAGGCACTGAGCATCGCCAGGATCGGGCCTGTGAGCACGGGGGTGCAGCAGGGTGTGCCCTGGCTCGGGGCCGGGCCGGGCTGTCGCGGATCCACCCGAGCAGCCTCCAA